TGTGCTCTCTGTGAAAGCCTGAGAGAGTGTTTTCTCCCCATGTGACTCTCCTTAGGCACACTCTACATCATCGATCACTTTCCTCTTTGGCCCCATAATGAATTAATTAATTTTAAATTGGGAAATTTCACATCAAGAATTTGGGTATCTAGCTTTCCTTACCAATCTGGCAGTACTGGCTGGCGGGTGATGTCACTTGGTGGCAGGGGCTGGTGAGTCGCCTTTATGGAGGGACACCTGAGCTCTCCCTCCAGTTTGCTTCAGTCCCCACCAGGCCTTATCCAGAACTGCCAGCTTCAGGCGTTTCCATTATCTGCCTGCCCGTTGTGGGCCCAGAATGTGTCACCCTCGATCGGGGCTTAAGCGGCTCATTCTACACAGCCCGGGAAACAGGGACAGATGAGTGACCCACCACTGTTGGGTGGAAGACAACAGCAGAGTCAAGGGATAATCGTTGTGCTAAGTTTCAGAACTCGGTGCCGAGGGGTGGGGTGGGGGGGACCTGGGCCTTTCATAAATGAGAGCAGCGTGCTGGAAGCGCCTAGAGAGTGAAACACCTGTGTGCAAGGGCAGTGGGTACAGGATGGTGGGGCCTGCTGGGGGGGAGGGGAGGGGGCAGCCACACTGCCCAAAATTGCAAGGCTGTAAAGTTGGAGAAACACGGCAAGGAGCCCTCCCCATTCCCTCTACCAAGGCTACTGGCCCAAAGCGACTGCAGCCCCGGACCTTTGCACATGTTTTTCTGTACTCTCCGCTGGCTGCTGTGCTCCTGCACGCCCGCCCGGGGCCAGGCTCAGGGCGCTCCTGCGGTGCGTGCGTGCGGCTCCTCCTTACAGAACTGCCTGTTCCTTCCCACGCCCCACCCAGCCCAGGTCTATGGTCAGTTTTCCAGTATTTCGGAGGTTTACTTATTTTATTATTATTATTTTACTTTACTTTAATTAATTAATTTATTTTTGCTGGTTAGGGCTCTGTCAGTCATTTCTGTAATGGTGTCTCTCAACAAACAAACAACCCAACCAACCAACCAACCAACCAAGCAACCAACCAACCAGCCCGATTCAGGGCTTAAGAGAATGCATTCAACAGGCGGCTTTCAACTCGCCCTGCTGGATCCCCTCGCGCGCCCCCTCCTCTGCTGCACCGACCGACCACTAGTTCCCCGCTTCCCAGCTCCGGGGGGCAGAAGGCCGTGGTCACCGCAGAAGCCTTCGCACTTTAGGGGTCCCGCTGCCACCCGCCCCTCTCCTCAGAACCCGCTCCAGCCCCACCCGCGCGAGCGGGCCGGGGAGGAGAGAGCGTCCCCTTCGGGTCCCCAGCAGCCCGCGGGCCTACCTTCGCCCCGGTGCTCAGGACTTGCCACGGCCACGTCTCCACGGTCCCGAACAGCGAGTTCCTGATCATGCCCAACATGTCGCCGCTGCAATCGGAGCCCACCGCCGCGGACTCCGGGTGCAGAAGGGGGTGCAGGCTGGTGCGCGCGGGAGGTGCCGGAGCCCAGAGGCCGGGGGCGGGGCCGGGCAGGCTCCGCCCACAGGAACTGAGCTGGGGCGCGGTGGGCGGGGCGGGGCGCGCGGCTCCGCGCGATGGGCGGGGCGGCCCCTCCTGCCCCCGCCGCTCCGCACCCTTTCCACTCCCGAGCAAGGTCGGAAAAGTGTTAGTGTTTTGAAGTTTGCTTTCCAACGATCCGGTTTTTTTTTTTTTTTTTTTTTTTTGAGACGGGGTCTTGCTGGTTCAGGCTGACCTTCAACTCACTATGTGTGGTCCAGAGCGGCCTTGAACTGGCTGCATTCCTTCTGCCTCAGCCTCCGGAGGGCTGAGATTATATATAGGCTTGCCACCATCCGTTTTAACCACAGATTCTATCATCCTTCTAACCCACAGCTTTCTCATTCACTTGTATTGCGATTTATTGTCTCCTCTGGGCCAAATTTACATCAGTAAAAAAGTATTTCATAGCTATAACCTATAAATCTATAAACTAATCTCTAACTTTCCACAACCGGAGTGTGACTTGTCCAGGATTTGAACTCATGCTCCTGGTGACAATGCCGGTCACACTCTGATGGCACCCTGTCGTGATGAGATTTGACAGACTGATCTCTATCTCTGCATTGCAACTGATTTCCAAATACTCTTTGGGCGTTCCTCTCGGTGCCGCATGACTTCTTCAACCTGGACAGCGTCCCTTCTCATCTCCGGGTGTTTGGCTTCCTTGAAAGCACATTTCAACCACTGCATCTTTGGACACTGCGTGCCCCCTGGGTCTCAGTATTCACCCATGTGACCTTGGCCTATGGACTTTTAACCCATTGATTTAATGACGCAAATGTGGTTAGTGAAACTGATTACTGAATTACAGTGTGATTTGTGGAGGCCTCTGTGAGCCAATCGAGGGACCTTGGTAGGACTGCCTGCTTAGAGCCGGAGCCAGGCAGAGACGATCGATAACCGAGGTACTGCTGACCTCCAGTTTTGTGGAAACCGATTTTAACTTTATTAACTGTGCATAAAAAAGATTTACTTTCTGACAAACAAATGGTTGGTCATTGCTGTAAAATAAATTGCCACTTAATTATTTCATGCTTTCTTGAGTCTAAAATGTCATGGATTGTAAGAGGGCCTGTCATTTTATGAACTGGCAAGAAAGAAAAGGAATACTACCAACTGTACCATTCAATTGATTTTAAATGCTTCCAGAGACGCTAAAATGTGAAATGGGCTTTTGTTATTATTTTCACTTTTTTGTTAGTTGTAGGGATGAATGGACTTCACTTTGGCAGATCGTACTAAATATATTCAATAATATGCACGTAATATAATTTGATCATTTTCATCCTTTTCTGTTACTCCATCCTCAGCCCTCCCCGCTACTTTCACATTTTTGGGGGGCTTCAATGTGTATAATATAATTTGCTTATATCCATCCCCCACTACCCAGACTTACACTCCTCCGCCTCCCTTTTATTCCCTCCCTTTTGTCTAATACTAGTCCCTCCTGGACTTGTCATCTTTTAAAATTTCACATGAAGGAGAAATTCAAAATTTGTCTTTGTGAATCCGGCTTATTTCACTTAACAGCACGGTCTCCAGATCCATCTATTTTCTTGAAAATGACAGAATTTCATTTTTCCTTGTACCTTAATGCTGCATTATATATGTGTACCACATTTTCTTTATCTATTCATCTGTTGATGGACATCTAGGTTGATTCTGTATCTTGGCTGTTGTAAATTATACTGCAATAAACTATTTCTATAATATGCTGCCTCTGATTTTTCAGGCACATAGCAAGGAGTGGTTGCTTTGGGTGTGGATTGGTTTTTGTGCTAGAGATTGAATCCATGACCTCGCACATGTAGCCACACTCTTAGCCCAAGGAGTGGTATAATTGGATCAAATGGTAACTCTGTAGTTTTTTCAGGACACTAACTTACATCCATCTCAGCTGTGTAAAGGGCTCCCTCCCTATCTTTTATTTATTTATTTTTGTATTTTAGGGAGGGTCTACAGGGGGTTCAGGGTACTGATCTGCCTGCTTACAGCCTCTCAAGAGCTAGGGTTACAGGCTCATGGCACCACGCCTGCCCAGTCTCAATTGTTGTCTAAGCACACCCCAGGGGCAGGGCCAGTGGCAGGCCTGGGGATCAAACCCCTGGCCCCTGTGCCTGCTTGCAGGCACTTTAATCCACTGAGCTATTTGGCCAGCCTCTATCCTTGCTAGCATTTAGTTTTTGTATTCACCTAGCCATTCTGGCTGGAGTGAGACCATATTTCAGTATAATTTTAAGTTGCATTTCCCTGAAATAGCATTTAGCTTATAGTTCATAAGAAAAGGGGGTAGGCTTTGTAAGATTCCTAAATATTTTTTCTGCTCACAGCATCTCTCTCTCTCTCTCTCTCTCTCTCTCTCTCTCTCTCTCTCTCTCTCTCTCTGGTGACTGAACCCAGGATCTTATTATGTCCCCAGCCTAACCTTGTCTGCTTTCTTACGTACTAATCTCTTATAGGATGGAGGAAAGTTAAAAGTTTTCTCTCTCTTTTAGATATGTTAAATGAAAAGTATAGGAAGCCATTGTCTTGGAAGAAGCACTTGTACTGGGCCTAACAGAACAGGCTAAAACTCAAAGGGTGGGGGGGTCATCCGTACTAAGCTGCATGCTGCCATCTGAAACCAAGTTGTTTCTCTGACCTGAGAAACCAGGGTAAGAAACAAAGGTTGTTTCAGCCCTGGGTGCAGTGGTGCGCCCTTGTAATCCCACATTCTGGGTGGCTGAGGCGGAAAATAAGTTTAACTGAACTCTGGGCAACTCAAGAGATACTGTCTACCCTCTATGATGGGTACAAAAGAGAACATTTTATTTTCTGCCCTTACAATATTCACAGTAGACGAACCAGCTCAACATAGGAAGTTTCATAGGAGCAGCAATGGGAGGTGGAGGATAGCCTGGGAGTCAAGTAGCAATATTCATATGTAAGTAGGTAAAGGAGAATTTCACCAATGACGTTGAATGCATGCTAAGGTTTCTACTAACAATTCTCAGTGGGAAAAAGGAAGAGCAGCTTGTGATGTGTGTGTCATGAGAGAGTGGTTTTATGGTGGATCAGGGCTGGAATTTGCTTTAAGAGGAGCCAAGTATGGTGGTAGATGCTGATAATCCCAGCACTCGGAAGACTGAGGCAGGAGGATCTTCAGTATAAGACTAGCCTGACTTTATAGTCAGTTCATGCCAAACTGGATTATGCAGCAAGACCTTGTGACAGTGAACCGAGAACAAAGAAAAAACAAGTGATAAGATGAACAGACAGGGTTAACTATAGTACCTGAGGATCCATTCTGCTGACCTTATTATTATTGTTTTTTTTTTTTTTACCTTTAATCCTCCCTAGAGTTAAAGTTTAAAAACACACTTTACCTTGAGGGTGTGCCATTTCGTACAATCTTCTCCCTAAACAGGACTGAGTCATGGAAACCTGCCGTTCCACCATTGTACCTTGGTGCAGCCAGATGTTAAAGAAAACATCAACTGGGGGGCTGGAGAGGTAACTCAGCAGCGTGTCTGTCTGGCAAGCACAAGGCCCTGAGTTCAATCCCTAGTACATAAAAAAAAAAAAAAAAGAAAGAAAGAAAGAAAGAAAAAAGAAAGACACAGACTTTAGCAGGGAAGAAAGACTTTATTCTATGATACAAGAGTAGCTATAGTTGGTTCTTATCACAGCCTTTCTACAGGAGTGAGGTGCACACAGATGCATCCTTCCCACCTCTACCTCAGTTACAGCAATTGCTCAAATCAGAACCAAATAACCAGTGGTTTTCTAGGTACAGCATGGTCTATATTTCACACTTAGAAAATGGATGTCTTTCTTATAGGAAGTGGTCTGCAGAGGCGACCTTGCTGTTCATGCTGACAACCAGTGCCTACGGTGCTCAGTTCTTTTTTAGTACCAGAGATGGAGCTCCAGACCATGTGCTTGCCAGGCAAGCGCTTATGCCACTGAGCTGTACCCCTGGCCCAGCCATCAGATCTTCGTAGTCTCAGATTTTCAGACATTACCACTTCCCATGGCTTCTGTTTCCATTGGACTAAGTGAGTAGCCCATTTGGGCAGTTTTTCTGAATACAACCTCCTGTATGAAAAATACCTCTTGCTTTGCCTCTAGCAACAACAACAACAACAACAACAACAACAACAACAACAACAACAGGGCCAGTGAGATAACTCGGCTGATTAAAGCACCTACTTAGGCAAGCTTAGGCAAGTGTAGGGACCAGGGCTTGATTCCCCAGCACCACAGGTGGCACCAGCCCTCCCCCAGGGCAGGCTGAGTTGGCCAGAGTCCAGGAGTAGTGGTGTATGACTGTAATCCCAGTGCTGGGGAGGTTGAAAACAGGAGGATTACTGTGAGTCCAAGCTGCAGAGTGAGACCCTGAAACAACCAAATACATTAAAAACAAAACAACAATAAGTTGTTGAAGTGAATGCTTTATCAGCACCTAGCATTTCTAATAATGGATTAAAGTGCCATGTAGACAGATTTCAGCTGAGATTTAAGCTCCTCTCCACCTCAGTAGTCATCGTATAGAGCAAATTTTCCTCGGGTTCTTGGCCAAGCATAACTCAACCCTAAAGAAATGACAAAGAAGGTCTATTTCCCCTGATTTATACCTTCGCCTCTCACTGGGCAGCTCGGCGAGGCCTCGCTGGGACTGCGGCTATGGTCATGATTTATAGCTCTATCTAAGCTCTTGTCTTTACCCAGACTCTGGAGTGTGGTGAGACCCCCACACAGCAGCTACCTGCAGCAAAATGAGACAATGTATAAGGAAAGCGAGAACCCAAGAGTGCAATGAAAATTTATGAGCCCTGTGAGCTAGGCGCTGGACGCAGGATACAAAAGAGCCTTGCAGTGCCTATCTTGCCACAGTTCCTCAATCCTGTGCTGTCATGCTTGGGAGAGTTAAGAATGTCTGGTCCCATGTCACGCATTAAAAGAGACTTAAGACACAGC